CACCAGCCTCATCTCCTGCACTGGCAGACCGCAGTGCAGTCTAAACAGCCGTCATCTAATGCAGAGTCTGCTGGTGTCCAGGCATCACTGATGATTTTCAACACTCTCTTTTAACCCTTTATTGAAATCTGACGAAAGTTCATTAGCCTAGTGGAAGTAGTGAAGCTGTGAGTAGGAACAGCCGCTAAAGCTATATTTAGCTTAGCTGAATAAGCACACGCTCTGTCACCTGGATGGTATTGTGTTAGAATTAAGGGGTTTCTAATCCTTATATTGAGTTTGCTGTGCACTATTTTATAAAGTGCTTTTGCTATTAGAGAGTATGCTTGCACAATCATTGTTTGTTTTTGAGTTCCCTCTGTCATACTGTATTGACAGTTTTGTTTCCTGGGTTTTGATCAACATAATGAATGCCCTCATTTTTCATGGTTTTTTTTGTGGTGAACCTTGCTGCCTGCCTGCCTGCTGGTCCTTACTGCCCTTACTGGCAGGCTCCACAACTCCAAACAGTAGGCTGATCAAGAAACCACTGACATGACTCTGAAAAAAGGCTCTGTGCCCTGACACTCACTGCACCACAATCTGTCCTCTCACCACTGGCTCTCCTTGATCTCAGTGTGATTCAGCTTGCCCTCACCATATGGACTAACCTGTTTTTATCACAATTGCTCCGGCGCTTTGGAGACCTGCATGTGTTTTGAGTATTCACGCAACTGAGGAAGATCAATGAAAGGTTGTTGTTTTTTTTCAATTAGATTTTATTATTTCCTTCACCGACATTCTAAAAAGCGGTCTATCCAGTGCATACATATAACTAAATAAAACATATAAATAAATAAAACACAACAACAGCAGATACAAGTAAACTCTCGACTTGAGAGAAGGGAGACAATCTGAACCCCGATGAATGCTTCCTGAATTATTTTCATTATGATTCATCCGTCATTCATTGTTGGTCCACAAAATGACAAAAACTGATGGAAAATTATCACTATTTCTTCCAAAGCCTAAGGTGATGTCCTCAAAAATCCTATTTTGTCCACAACCCAACGTTCATGTCAGTTTACTGTTATAGAGGACTAGACCAGTCTAACTAAACCAGAACATTTTTACATATGAGAAGCTGAAATCAGAGAATTTGGGCATTGTTCTTCTCAAAACATTACTCAAAAATATTTTTTGGAGCTTTTATCGACTTTAATGGATAGGATAGCTGAAGGCTGACAGGAAAGGGGGAGAGAGAGAGGGGATGGCACACAGCAAAGGGTCACAGGTCAGATTTGAACACATGGCTGCTGCAGCAAGGACATGAGGCGCCAGCTCTACCAGCTGACCTACCAGTGTGCTCAGAACTTTCCAATTTTGAAAGTTACTTCTGTATCAATATTTGGATACGGAATCACCTCAGATTTGGCCCAAATTATCTGGCAACAGATCCAAAATGTCATCAGCAAAAATTTAAAACCAGGTTTTTTTTTTATCCTTATGAATTCAACTTGCATTGGGCCCAGTCTAGTAGCTACTATGTATTTTGCTCACCCCCAGCAGCTTCACCTCTAATTAGCTGTGATGTGAGTTAATGTGATGCAGCCTGCTGGTGATGTGGGTGTAGCAACAACCACTGAGATATAAAAGCAATTGGAGGCAACTTAAGACACAACACAGAGGAATAGTTCACTCTGTCGGTACATCGGGCACAGTGGCTGCCTTTAAAAGGCCCAAATTAAAGTCTGAGTAGTATGGAGCTATTTTCAGTTATTTTCAGTTTGCATTTTTCAACTGAATGTAAGTTGGGAGGCTCGGCCCTGGTTCTTGGCATTTGACTCACTTCAGGTGTCTTGTGGTAGAATTATACAGGATTATTTGTATGATACATAAATACGTGTTTGGGCTCTGTTCTCAGCATCGTAGACCACTTATTCGAAAAACAGAGTAGCATCCTCTTATATTAAATGCCAGTGCTCTGCAAATGCTGCAGTGAGCACCTGGTCTGGTGACATTGTGTCCTTGGCTGAGGAATTCACACACCTAACCCAGAACGTCTCCTTTTTTTAAAACTGAAACACAACTCCAGTGAGGGACTTTCAGTGACAGCCAAACAGATGGCATTAAAATAGGGTTTTTAACAACAAGGACAAAATAAAAAAGGGACCTGGTACCAAGAACCAAAAGATATTTGATGACTAAGAACTGAAATGGTCAGAATCACACTAAGTGAATGTAAGGAGAGTTGCACATAATCCCATGTAGTCATAAAACTAAATATACTCCCAATATACACTTTGTAAAAATGAACCAAGACAGAAATAGGGCAATGCCAATTCACTGATATTCTGGTCCAGTGTATTGTTTTGCTGCTGACTGTGCAGCTTGAGGACATCCGAGTTGTTGGTGAGCGAAACTGTTGCTCTATCCTTTTTTATTTAATTTATTTTGCTGTTGGGTCAGAGATTTGGCATCTCTATCCTTCCACCACTGCTGTGGTAGCAGGATCCCATTGGGGAGTAACAGGCATGAATATATGCTTTCACACATGGAAATGTGTATAACATCCTGGCTTTTTAATACCTTATCTTCATGCAGCTTTAGAAACCTTTTCTACAGCAGGAATTCGACCATGGCCAGACAATTGTCAACTCACTTGCTCATTCAGCAACGGGGTCTGTGCTGTGCTCAATCAGTTGTTTTTCCAGCTAGAGAGGAGAGTTTTTTTTTTTCCCCCATATATGTGTTGTATTACAGGGTTTATCATATTGCATCTGTGTGTTGTTGCAGTTGTGTCCAATCCAGGCACTACAGACTTATGATCACCAAGCTAGCATATATGTGTAAACAATGCTCAACAATTAGAACATGCTCAGCTACAGTTCTTTCACTACACTTCAATATGTGTGATACATTTGTTGAGGATGCAAAATAATATAGACTTACTGTTAGTATTGCCTTGATTTTTGCATTTACTGTATTTGGATATTTACTGACCTTTATGCAGGAAAGCCAGTACAGTCTTGAGAGTTGTATGTCTTAGATTCTTTTTTTTCAATTTATTTGCGTGATTTTCTTTTTATAAATATTGTATGAGCATTGTTGAAGGGAGCCTGAGAACAAGATTTTCATTGCAAACGATTGCTTCACTGTTTGTTGTGCATATGACAAATAAAGGAAAAAAAAACTTGTACTGCAGACAACCAAGACATTTAGTGGAAGTATGACTGGTATCTACACCACAATGAGTTCACAATGTATGGTGCCATTATAATGGTAAAATAATGACAGATAACATTGCCAGCACAGGTGTTACAGTTAACTGGAGCATTTTGCATTTTGTTGTTTATCTCATAAGAATATATTTTTAATTTTCTTAAAGCAATGTTTAACAAACCATCATGTACACTTTATCCAATAAAATGGAAGGTCAACTATGTCATGTGACTATTGTCAGTACTGGTTTTGTCTGTGAGAGACAGTGAGAGGAAGAGAGACAATTCGACAATAGCCTAGGTATTGCTAATCAATGAACTTGAACATTTCAGCGAGTGTATCATTCAGTGTACACCATGGATCTTATGAAAGTTGCTCACTGAGGTGTTCCTGTGTTTTGGGATCCATAGAGCACTACAGTCCTCTACCGAGCCAGTTGAGAGCATGCGCCCTGGCAGACTTTCTCTTTCTCTTCTAGACTTTCTAAATGTTATGGGACTGAATGGATCAAATTCTGATAATTAAAAGATTAATTTTAGAGCATTTGTGACGCTCCAAAAAATGTATCCACTGTTTTACAGCCACTACACACAGAACTGCGTTAATGAACAAGTTCACTGATGTCTTCACAACTGAGAGCGCTACTCTCCAGAGATCAAAATGCAGTTGTGGAAATGTTCCAGAATAAACTAAACTAGTCATGTTAATTGTGATGACTGATTGTATCCCGCGATGCAAAAGTATGGCTCTTAATGTGTTTTTCATCGTTTTTGGATGACTGTGGTCCTCTGTGGGGTCGAGGCATAAGCTAAATCAAGCACCGACACTGTTATTAGGATCCATTTGCTGTTGGTTTTGCCCTTTTAATTGGATTTGTGATCAAAATAAAACTTTTAAAGCGTTATAAAATCGGGTCTTTTTATAGTACATTCAGAACAGGCCCACCAGATTTGCATGTACGTAGTACAGTGTACTAATTCCTCACACTTTTAGAAGCAAGGCTGGCTCATACATCTCTCGGCTGGACCAGTTTGGGGAATGGGCAGATGGGAGATAGGCCCACTCATGCTGCCCCTAAGTCTGCCCCAGCTGGTTGGAGATATTACACTCCATGTGTGATGATTAATAGGTCCTCAGGAACACGTCATACTATTTGTTTCAGCTGGGGTAGAGACTACTTGGGCACCAAAGAGGCATCCAGTGATGAATGCAAATATGCTCCCTCACACCTACAAGCGCACGCAGTCAGTTTTAGCCCCTTGGATGACTGATAGTGCTTGCAACCATGGTTCAGTATGTACTCCGCTGGGTCAAATGGGGAATCCTCACTGTGACCCAGATAAGCTGTTTGTTTAAGAGTTGTTAAAATGATTTATGGTATTCTGTGTTAGCTACATTGTAATGGCTTTTACTGCTTTAGCTTAGTATGATCATCCTTCTTCATCCCAGCGCTGCTACTGTAGGGGACCTGCACTGTGAAATGGCCTAGTTTGTCCTGGCCAGTAGCACAGCAGGTTAACTTGTGATACTTTACTAGTATAGTATGTGGTGTCAGTGTTGGTGAAATGTTGCTCATAACCGTTACAGTGTTATTGTCTCTATCTTTTCTATGTTTCGTTTCGCTCTCAATTACATTCTCCAAGGAAGCAGAAGCACCATAAAAACAGTCTTTCATCTTATTTTGTTGGTGAACTAGATATTAGTTGGTTTTTGCTGTGTGTTCTTTATGCATTCTGTCAGTGAATTTTATTATTGTTCTATGACTTAACTAATTTCCCTATTCTCTGCTTGTCTTATAGGTGAGCCACGCAAGTTTGACCCTAGCTTCAGAGGGCCTGTTCATAACAGGTACTACATTTACTCAACACCACCACCTCTTGTTTCATAGTATTTGCATCAAATGATTTAGCAGTGAAGAAAACAAAACAAGACTAAACCAAAAATGTGTTTACTTGCAGTGCACAATAAAGTGACTGCATTACAAAGGTAACAAAATTTGAAACATTTTGTCATTGTTGAAGACAATAACAGGAAACCAAAATCTATTCACCTGCTTTGTATTAGAATGGAGGCAGAAATCTCAGAGATGGATATCTCAAAACTTAAATAAATTCAAACTGTATGTACACTTCAACTAAATACCGCTAGGATTTTGTTTGGGTGAACTGACCCTTTAAGCGCTAGTCACTATCTTCCAACATGTGCATTGATTTTGCCCATTGTGTAATCTTTTTGGCACATACGCCTGTACGGGTGCTGATAGATTGATCATTTGTCCTGCTACGTTAATAAAGATTGAGGCCGAGTGCTGGCAGCTCTTTCCACTCCACCACGCAGATCAATGGCCATAAGTCAAGCTGGTGGCCAATGACACACACTATTAACCAGCCAGATACACCCAAAACAGATGTAGTCCACACATCACCTGGGCTACTGCTGGGAGATATTGAAATGTCTCCTGTTTTTCAACCAGGAGCACACTAGCACTTCTCCTGATGGACTGCAGTCCACTACCTGCTGCATGAGGAACAATTATATACACGTCATCGTTAGTTGTTGTCTCCATTGATTTAATCTGAAATGTGTGTTCCAAAATGGTGTTTAAAAGCAGCATGTTCATGTGATTTATGAAACCAAACTAAACCACATAAAAGTACCTTAAACCTAGTCAAACATTGATATTAGTTTCATATAATATGCCATCATTCCTATGTAATATATTGAAAAAAGAACACAAAAGGATGTCGTATGCAACTTTACATGAAATTGTTTCATTACCAAAAAATTGGAAAACCCTGATGTAAAACATGTAAAAAGAAAACGATAGGGTTTAAAACATGTAATCTTTTACATTTAGAAACACAGAACTATAAACCTTTGGTTAAGAAAAATGTGTATATGGGATTTAAAATGAAGTCTACATTGTGAGACTACCTGATTTCTTCAGCACAATGAAGAACAGAATTTTGCAATAAAGCAAAACCCCTCTAGGGTGTCACCACAGGCTTTTCTTGATGATTTAGCCATTTGCTGAGGTAATGCAGGCTCTTATCTCTTTTATGTTCAATGTCAGTTTGGCAAGCTGCTGTGAAGGCATGTTTCAGTCCTCCTGCGTCTCTTTATCCCACCCTCTTCAGCCCATTTCACTGCTACAGCTGGGTGAAGGCACCAAGGATACTTTGATGTGTCTGTGGCTCAGAGGCTTTTCTTAATGAGAACTGGGAGAGAACCGACTCTGTGGTCGTCTTGTTTTCATGCAAGCCCAATGCCTAAAAGAAGTAACCATATCTGTGATTATTGAGCAGTCCTCTAAAGGCCAGACAGAAGTGGATATGGCATAGTGTTAATTCAAACTGGCTCCAGATATAACATTATAATACACAATATAATCAGTGTCAGAAATACACACTGAAGAACCACAACTGCACAACCGTAATGTTATAATGCCTTTAATTGTGTCCTCTCAGAATGTGGTTCATTATCAGTGTGCACAAATCAGGTGCCTTCTGCCATCACAGCATTTGAGACAACTTACCTAAAGTAGCCCCTCTTTGCTCTCTTGACCGTGAGAAATATCCCTTTGGTGTGCAAATCTGGCCCTCCAAATATACCTTCCTGTTTAATGTCTGTTACAAAGCTGGGACAGGCTGGCAGATTCACACCACAATGGCATCCATGCTATTCTGTGGCACCAGTGCCATCTGTGTCACCTTGGCTCCTGCTGAAGCCCTGTAAATATAACACTGACACCAAAGTTTCTTATTGCACTGACAGAGCTTCCAGTACTGTTTTTTCTTTCTTTCAAAGAAGCACTGCCTCTGAGTACAGAACACAATCAGGGCCATGCTTTGGTCCCTGTGAAATTGTGTAGAAGTGACATCTGAGAAGATCTGAAGTTTGGGAGTGAGGCCAGGTTGGGGTCCAAATAGATTTGCCGTTTGAATATATTTTGGACCTGACTTGCAGTCCATGTGGCCTGCTTTCCTGAGATAAGAGAACAAAGCAGAATTGTTTTCACTCTCCTCACTTTGTCAGCTTCCTTTCAACACTCACCTATGCTTCAAAGGTGACTTTGTACTGTATTAGTACTGTGGTGCTGTGTTTGCACTTTGTCTTAATATTGCAGTCGTGTCTATATAAGGGAGTTGGGAAACAAGACAGATGTACAGCAACAGTCACATTGTGGTGGAGGAGAGGCAAGGTCGGCTTTAGACTCCCACCCATCACATCTCCCCCTTTAATCACCTATGATGTGTGTGACACTGAGTGATAGAAAACTTATCTACCAGCTAAAGGATGGGGAGGGATTCAAAGACAAGGAATGCAACCATCACCATGGCAACCCAGGCAGCTCTTCCCTTTGTTCCTTTTTGAATGAAATGAAATGGTACTCCCTTGTCTGCCTTTGTTAATAATATGCACAATATCAGCAACAGCTTTGCAGGTAGTGTGGCAGCTTGTCTTTATGCTCCTCATATTCGCTGTCAGTATGAAACTGTGGCTGTCTTCACCAGGCAGAGCTGTGCCCACTTCAGCTGCCTTTGTTTCTCAATTATCTCTGAAAAATAATTTCTGAAAAAAATGGTTTATACCTAATATGTTTCACAAGTCCCTAAGACTTGTTTTGTATGGCAACCAACTGCTCTTTTAGTGTTTTGTCATCCAATGTCATCTGTTGGAGGTTTTGGCTGATGTTGGCTTGTTTGCCTCAAGACACATAGCAGTTGGTCTCTGGGTCAATTATTGTTAGCTCTAAATACACAGCCCAGGTTATAACTGGAGATAGCTCATTTTGAATGTGCTGTAGTTATCTACAGTCTGAATTACATTAAAACTGTAAATAACTACAGCACATTCAAGAGTGGTGATAATAGGGTCATCTTATTCTGAAATGAGAAACAAGGAGTATTAGCATTATTAGGAGTATTTGCTGAGTTCAGCAAACCAATCTATCAGAGCAGCCTGTTAGCGAAGATTGCAAGGTTTACTGCAGTTAGTAATACAGGACCATACAAACAGTTGTTAATTGCAGCTGCACTTATAAACAGTCCAGGATAATTTGCAAACCATGTTTAAATTACACAGCTGACTCTGAATCTATGATACAGTTAAAATAGTCATGTTTGTATCTTAATGTAAATGCACTAGTCTGATCCTCTGTGTGCATGAATGCTCTTGTCTCTCTTGACTGTCTGCTAGTTCTTAATGAAATGGTATTTGGAGGCTGAAGAGCAGCGTGCATATGTGGTGCCTGTATAGGACCACGTAACCATGCTGCATACAAAATAAGGACAATCCACTCTTCAAGGAACTACACAGAGGAAACATTGTCACATCTCTGAGCTCAGGCCTCCTTTTGACATTGGCCTTGCTTGTCTGGATGAAAAAGGAGAAGGATTGAAAGCTGGATGAAATGAGGGTCTCAAGTCAATTTGTGTAGCATATGGTGCTAGGGGGAGGCTTTGTATATCCTTGTATGGTACTACTTGGCACAGTGGATTTAACCTGGATTTAGTGGAGACTGGGCTCAGTACTCATAGTCTGAACAGTTTTGAAAGAGGGCTGTGAACGGACTGGACTGACAGCTTCTCTCAGAGTGGAAAGAAAGCTTGTTATGAGAGACAGACAAGTGAGACAGTGAAGACTGAGAGAGAGCGAGACTCTGCTCTAAACTAGCAGACTGAGGCTACTGTGGAGAGAGAGGCAATCTTCAAATAGTGCCTGTGGGACAGTTACCTCTAGGGGGGGATTCAGGGTCTCATTAGAAAGTCAGTAGAGCTCTACTATAGTTTCTCTGAAAACACAGTATACAGATGACACCTTGTCATGCCTGGTAGCAAGCACTGCACCTAGATATAGAGCTCAAACTCACTTGCCACACAGCAGCTATGTCATGATTACCAACAATGAAATTGTTAAACACACGATGCATATTTTTTTACCTTAAGATGAGGCTAGTTCCCAATTCCCCCCCAGGTCGCATTAGTACATAAATTTGCTAAACAACCAACCATTAAGAAATAACTTTATTTTTCTCCTGCAATCCTGGCTTCCCATGTCACACACCTCTCATTTGTTCTCACACATTTTTTCTTTTTTCCCAGGAGCTGCACTGATGTGGTTTGCTGTGTTATCTTCATCATCGTCATCCTCGGCTACATCGCTCTGGGTACCGTGGGTGAGTTCGACACATTGCTGCTGATTACATCACACAAAGCTTCATAATGACGACCAACCGCACGCACAACGGTGGTGATATGTTCTGGTCTGGTCCGTGGTATGAAAGTGTGAATTGCTCACTTATCCTGTCCTGCCAGGTTGTACAAAGCAAAATCTCGAGCTGGTGGAATGAGCAGAAAGGTGAAAAGTGACAATAATTTAACAATATCTGAATCCACCACAAACTGCTCCCTGCAGGATGCGCCGACACTTAAGGAGAAAACCATCTGGGTTTTTTTTGGGTCTTTGTTTGACTTATTTATAATTACACAGTGGGTTATTCAACTAAATGTCTGATTGTTAAAAAGTGCGGGGGAGTTAAGAAATGCAGCCCCCCCCAAGAGAATGGACTATTCTTTTTTATAAGTGGGAGTTTGACCACAACATGCAGTTTGTATGGCTCTATCTGGTTGAGGTGATTGTGTTATTAAAGCTGTTTTGATGTCCCTGTCGAGTTTTTGACTGGATGGCTGGTGATTCCCTGTGGCCCTCATTTCATTCAAATTTTCTTGAAGCCATTTAGTTCACTCGAGTGTGACAGAGAGTCCACTTTGTCTGCAACTGACTGAGACCATGCAGTCTTGTGAATCTCCCCCATCAGTTCCCCTTTTCACTCTGTTTTGCTCTTTACACTTTTCTCTCTTTCTTCTTCTTTTTTTCCTTTCCAGTTTTTCTTCTTTTCTCTCTTCCTGCTTTTAGTCCTTTTTACACTCTGCAACTTTTGTTTAATCCTTTCCCATACAAATGCATGTCCTGTTTTATCCAGCACACCTGACCAGCACATTTCCTTTCAGCCTCTTTCACACATGTATGCTATGCATCACACATTAGGGGAAAATGAAGTCCCGTTGCTGTCCCCAAAGTGTCGTCCCTTGCCAGCTCGTTATCAGTGGAGTCACGTCTCAATCTGGGCATGGGACATGGGAAGGACTTACTGTTTCCCAATAATTTATAAAGGGCAGAAGCCATGACAATGAATGCGACTTGAAATAGACACTGACATGTCTGCAATCAGCTGAAGAACTTGGTGTTCTTTCTGCATAATTTCTCAGTTTCATCATCCATGTTGTGTCAAAGACTTGTAGACTATCTTTATTGTGCTGTCTCACATTCTGCACAATCCTTCATTGACTGGCAAGGTGAAAGGCCTTAAAACTGTGTTGTTCAGGTTGGGCAAATAAATGAAACACAGCAATTGCTTAGTAAATTGAATTTCAGGGTTACTGCTACTCCTATCTAGAGAAACAGAACAGAACAAATTAAACTGGATTGATTTTGTTGTTGTTTTATGTGTGTAGAGTGTGTCTTCTTAATTGATATGCATACATGCAGTCCTCCAAATAAATTTATATTGTTGTTTTGATAATTTTTTGTGTTGGTAATACACAGAGAGACACATGTGGCCATGGCCTGATGCACTCATAAAACTGAAGAATCCTATTGATTTAGAAAGGAATAATAATGTAATGCTTGTAGGTAGTTGATCATTTTCTCTGTTATATAAGAAAACTAGACGAACTATCCGAGGTGTCATTTAGGACCACAGAGAGTCTGAAAAGGAGAGTAAAATGTTGACCAATGGCCTTGTGAACCTCAGTAGTTTCAGGAGTTTATTCTAGTATGGCTATACATGTTAAAGTCTATGCAGTTTAAACCAAAAAATGTTGCGTTATCTTTTCAGCCTGGATCCATGGCGACCCCAGGAAGGTCGTCTATCCAACCGACAGCCACGGCCAGTTCTGTGGCCACCAGAACACCCCCAATGCGTGAGTGGAATAATATCTGTTCTTAAATTGTCGTACACTAGAATAATTATGTTCCCCAATTTGTCTGTCAGCTTTCCATTGTTATCTTTACACTCACAAAAGGCTTTGACCACAATAGAAGGAGATGGTTTGTGATTAATTATGGCAGGCACGGTACACTCTCTCCCTCACTCCGAGTGTGTTTGTGCTGAAATGCTTGCTGATAAAACATTGCACAGCAATGCACTGATTTCTCAATCTTTTGAGTCCTCCTAATTGGACCTCATGTCGTTGTCTTCATTGTTTGTCTCCACAGAAACAAAGCCATATTATTCTACTTCAACATGTTGAAATGTGCCAATCCTGCAGTTTTAATTAACCTCCAGTGCCCTACCACCCAGGTAAGAGAAGTGTTGCCCCTTCTAGCAGCACATTTTTACACTGCTTTATGTTCCTCTCCAACCTTTCCGCCACGCTTGATTATGCAAGATTGATGGGCTTTCTCATTAAGAGGACGTGTTGCCTCCTACAGCTCTGTGTCTCCAAGTGCCCTGACAGATTTGCAACTCTCCTGGATGCATGGAATACCAAAAACTGGGACTATTACAAGCAATTCTGCAAGCCGGGCTTCGAGATTGGCAGCAAGGTGAGAGATACTGGGTAGAGGTCCTTTGTGTCTTTTTACATACTAGATGAAAGTATATTTATTGAACCTCATATCTTAATTATGAGAGTTTAGACCTTCCTCCTCTGTTGTAGAAGCACTTTTTCATCAGATATATCTTTGACAAGAAACTCATAAAACTCATGCCTTGTATAGCTTTTAAACACCCATCCTCAGATTCCACAAGTCACTTTAATAAAGAGCTCATTTGAATGTGCTTTGAGAGACAGTCGGAAGTGAGCTAGCAGCGCACTGATGCACATCACAGCCCTTTTCCGTCGTCTGGCAGCAGTTCAGTTACGGTGACGTTGGCATGATGGTGTGTAAGAACCAGAGAGTGAGGTGGTGTGTGGGAGCACCTAACAGCTCAGTCATACTGTTTGAACTGAATCATTGATTCCCCTTCCCACATCATCAAGTATGACACTGTTACATCAGACAGGATTTAGTCCAGCTCTGTCATATCTGCCTTCTTGGTGTTTACGAATAATGATATTATACCAATGCTATAATCAGTGAAGATTAAACAGTGCTGACAGATCTGTCTATGAGATTGATGTATTCCAAAAATAATAAATAACTATTTTTATGTGTGTAAAACATTCTGATGTTATACATGTGATGGTGATAATTACTTGGTTCAGAAGAATACATAGTGAATTTATGGTATTTTTTCAATGTAATTTACTGTTTCATAAGCAACAAGTTCAATAAACTGACTTAAAGTTACATTTGAATCAAAATAATTGTTTTACCTAACACAAATTATAAACAGCAGCAAGGCACACACGGTATTACTTAAATACAGAAACCAACATGACAGAAACAGATTGGTTAATTAAATGGAAAAAGGCCTTTCACTTAATCACTAACTATGACAAATACTGTGTTGAATGAATAGTTAGTGATAACTCTCTCGTTTCAATTATTTGAATCATCTCCTTTATTGCCCTTTCAGTCAGTTGCAGAAGTCATACGAGATGAAGACTGCCCGTCTATGATTGTGCCAAGCAGACCTTGTAAGTGAATATGAATAACTGTAAACACAGTAACCCACAATAGGTCATTATTTGTTTGCCAAGCCTCTAAAGACAAAAATGTGTTTCAGTCCTTCAGCGGTGCTTCCCTGATTTCATTACAAGAAATGGAATTTTAACTGTAGCCAATCAGACCATCTTCAAAGACGGTGACAATAACCAGAGAAGTGTCAGCGACCTCAAAGATGCTGCCAAGTAAGATCTACTTCCCTGCAACATTAATCTTTATACTTGTTGTTAGTTGTAAGTAGATAAGTCATTAAATTGATTGGCATTCTTTCTGTAGTAAAATAATGTGCATAAATAAACCACCCTGTAAAATAAAGTGTTTTAAAACTGTTAATACTGTTAATACTGTTAATACTGTCAATAGGGCTGCCAACTCTGCACCCAGAGAGCTCTGGACAGATATTTCAGGGTAGGACAAGTGGGCATTTTATTGATGCCCAGGAATGTGTCCAACCACATTCAAAGTCATTGTGCATGTTTATTGCATGGAAATGCAACTTACCCACAAGTTCATGAGTAGAACTTCAAGGGTACCTACAAGCTTACAACAGCTGCTTCGTAAAACTACGCTATCAACATGGGCTGAGATAGCAAACTTTGGATAAGCAGAGAAATCATGTATTTACACTTGTGAGCTGATGTTAGAAACATACATGATTGTTTGCTGTGATCAACCCAGAAAATATAATGTGCTTTAATGCTTTTCTCTTTGTAGCCAAGTAACCGCCATGCAGCAAGGAGTGGAAAGGTCTTAAAAAATGATTTATTTCAGCTTTTTAACTTTGCCTCCACTTGTAGTCAGTAGCTTGTGTAGACTAACAATCCCACTCGTGCTCTTCATCGTAAAGAATCTGTTTCTGCGTCCCTCCACCTGCAACAGGAGTTAGGACGTATTAATACAACTGTTTGCAGCATAACCTCAAACCTCAAAACAAGTCATCTACTACTATGTGAGTGGCTGTGTGGTGTGTGTAGAATACTATAGAAAGTGGTGTAGTGCCCCCTGGTGGTAGTTAGGTTTGCTACCTTGATACAGTATATACTGTAGATACATATTAATGCAAGCTTGCACAACAGTGCTGGATATGATCCAAACTCTTGTCTTTGGACAGGGATTCAGTGACCTTTAGGGAGCTGAATTAGAGCACTTCATTATAATGTTGTTTTCAGAACTGCTTTCAGTGTTCTGTTTGTCCCATAGCAATGTTAGCTTGTCCTCTTTTCCTCCTGTGTCTGTACTTTACAGATGTATCGTAGTCATAGAGCAGTGTGTCTGAAAGGGTATCAGGGAAAGGTTAAGTTTAGATCTGTAGATAGATTGATCGTCATTTTGAGGCTTAAACACCTTTTTCAAGATGAGTTCAGGTGACAAAGTAAAACAAATCAAAAAACTTGTATTGAGTCCATTATGTTGAGTATTTGAAGCAATTATTCCATTTTCATCGGTGACTCTTCTTTACCTTGAACTGAAATAAATTGGTTCTTGACCTAACACATCCATTAATATGTGCTATTCCACTAGGTGTTCCTCTGTATTACATTCAGTAACACGCTGCTATACCATTTGCCACCATATTGATGGAACTATTGCTCAATAGCGCTTCAGTAACACTAATGCTGTTTTGTGGCTCTTTGATTTAAAACTTACTATATTTTTTCCAGACCCTCCTAACCTGATAAGTAGGTATTGTTGCTGAAAATATCAAAAACATTTTGAAACTGCATTCATCTTTGTTTCATGGTGACAACATTAAAGATTAAGTGTCAAAATGTTCTTGAGCAACCCTAGTAATTAAGCTATTAGAAGCAGTACCAAACCTGCCACAGCCCCATATCCGTGTCCTCATTAAATCCCTTTTCTTGTCACCTCTTTTCTTTCCCACTCTTTCCCATGTCATCTCTTCGCTCCGTCACAGAGGTATTGCCAATCTGCTGAATGCCAAAGAAGTTGGCATGAAGATCTTTGAGGATTATGCAAATTCCTGGGACTGGATCCTCATGTAAGAATGACTGTGGCTTTTGGTGAAGTTCGTATTTCGATTTTCTCGTCTGTGGATAGAGAAAATTGCCAGACCCATCAGTGACATTAATGATGAAACTGATGAAGACTGTCACACAGTAACTTTTACATGCAAATAATTCCTCCCATTTTACCAGCTTGAAGAAATTTACAACCGTAGATAATTCTGATAGCATTTGATGAGTACAGAACATTACACTAAATCATTAAAGTTTAAGTGAATTTCTTTCTTTCTCTATTACAAGTTTGTATGTGTTTGTGTTGTTGCAGTGGTCTCATAATAACCATGGTGGTCAGTCTGGTCTTTATCTTGCTGCTGCGCTACACTGCTGGTGTGCTCCTGTGGCTCATTATCTTCGGTGTCATCGCTGTGGTCGGCTACGGTGAGTATGTGCTATAGACAGTAACCCACATTGCCAGTGGCTACTGTATACTTCTTGGAGATTTGACTTTCTCACTTACCTTGCTGTTAGCAGTTCTGTTGTCATGGCAAACTGTTGCAGATTTAGATTTGTCTTACCTTGTTGCATCCTTTCCTGGCTTTCATTCTGTCTGTCAGGTATCTGGCACTGCTACTGGGAGTACAGTACTCTGAGCGGGAAGCCAGGTGCTAATGTCACCATCTCTGATATTGGTTTCCACACAGACTTCAGCATTTACCTTGAGCTCAGCCAAACGTGGCTCATCTTCAGTATGTTGTCATCCACTGCCATACCTTAACTTCAAACTTAAATGCTTAAGTGACATAGTGAAACATATATGCATCGACTAATAACTGAAACATATCATTTGTTTTGTAGTGATCTCGCTTTCTGTGATTGAGGCCATCGTTGTGATTATGCTGATATTTCTGAGGATGAGGCTGCGCATTGCTATTGCCTTACTGAAGGAGGGAAGCAAGTAAGTATAGATAAAAGCTCTGTTGACTCCTTGAAAATGAAATGGTGTGTTTGAATCTTTTAATACATATGACACACAGTTAAAAAAGATGCTTGATTTTTCTTGTTTTAAGGGCCATCAGCTACATCATGTCCACTCTCTTCTACCCTATCATCACCTTTTTCCTTCTGGCCATCTGCATCGCATACTGGGCCGTCACTGCAGTGTATCCTTCTAACTGCCGGTGCACTGATAAAGTGTAAACACCACATCAAGTTCATTTTTATTATTCACAAGGTCATATATACAATGGAAACAAGCTGGTGCTCTACAGATCTACAGTAGTATTATAATGTCTGGTTGAATGAGATGACTTTCTGTAAGTAGCATTTTAATCAATGTATTAAAACAAACTGGACTATATTTTATCAGTTGCAGTGATTGTTGTGTGGAAGACATTTTCCTTTGTGCTGTCCTTAACTAGTTTGTCCTCAGCTTCTTAGCATCATCTGGTAATGCAGTCTACAAGGTCACACCTACTGACGATAAATGCATGTATGCCAACCACACATGCAATCCAAAGGTTAGTCCCCCACTCTTTTCAGTGAATCTCTCACAATGAAGTGTATTTGCTGAGAAATGCTGTATCTGCCTGGAGTTTATTTTGTTATGTTTTGTTTAGTTTAGAAAGTGTTACAAATTCTTTGCCTCTTCTTGTTCTGTGAAATATATCTTTGTCAGTTTTCATCATACTCCCAACTGTAATCAATCAAAGCAAATAGCTTCTTCTTATTGGCTACAAGGCAAATCTGGTAGCTGGCAGTGAGTTCTGTGTGAGAACCATAAGAATCCATCTCTAGTGCTCTAATGTAGATAGAGTTCACATTAGTGTACTGACAGCTATGAACTCTTATTTGACTTATGTCATTTATGTGTACCAGAAATATTTAAGCAAACATTATGGCACATCAGTCCACACATTAAGATCTAATCTGTTTCCTTTCTTTCAGACCTTCAGTCAGACCAATTTTACCAAAGTGTGCCCCGGATCACAATGCATGTTTGCCTTCTACGGTGGGGAGAGCGTCTACCACCGCTATATCTTAGTCCTCCATCTGTTTAACCTGTTCGTGTTCCTCTGGCTGGTCAACTTTACCATTGCGCTGGGCCAGTGCACGCTGGCTGGAGCGTTCGCGTCCTATTACTGGGCCCTGAAGAAGCCAAATGACATCCCTGCCTGCCCGCTCTACTCATCTTTTAGCAGAGCCATACGGTAGGGAGCTGTACTGAGCTGTCCAGTGTACGAATATTTACTTGACACTTAAAAACTCAGGTATGAATAAAAGTCAAATTTGGGACCTGCTTGTCTCATAAATAACAGAATCAAAGTGAGATATTTCCCAATACAAGCATCTATTGAATCAAATGTTTAAATGTCTGTTATTCCATTTGGTGTCTCGTGTCACAGTTACCACACAGGTTCTCTCGCCTTTGGTTCTCTGATCCTCGCTGTGGTGCAGATGATCCGAATTGTTCTTGAGTACCTGGATCACAAACTGAAAGGTAAGTTGTAACCCACCAATTGTCCTACACTTTGTCGCACAATTTAAGGATAACTTCAAATGGGATGTTGATGATTGAATATGTTTTCCCAGGTTCCCAAAAGGCAATTGCTCGATTCCTGCTCTGCTGCCTCAAATGCTGCTTCTGGTGCCTGGAACATTTCATCAAGTTTATAAACAGAAATGCATACATTATGGTAAGTTAAGAAACACGGGCTTTGCCTGTGGTTTCGACTGATTTATGCCAACCTATTGCCAGGTCAGCTGGAAGTTGCCCTGGCTTGTACCTCCATGCTTAAATACTCTCTATTAAGCACTGTCTTTTTTTCCCCCAACAGATAGCAATATATGGGAAGAACTTCTGCACCTCCTCCAAGGATGCTTTCTTCCTCTTGATGAGGAATGTTATTCGGTAAGAACTTCCTTATAGGTGTGTGTCAGATCCATGCATCTAAAAAGGGTCAGAGTAGAGATTAGACACACTCTCAGGGCTGCTTATTATACCATATAGTTACATTTCTCCATTTAATAAAAATAAAAGATGTGAAATAACTGACACACATACTGTGCCAGTGAAATAATTAATAAATTACTGTTTCAAGCAGTTGGACATTTGTCCTTATTAGCCTACTCACCATTATGTATTCAATGGTGTGTGCACTCATAGATCTCTCCTGAGTCTGTATCTCAGTGTGTGACATTGCCTTCTCCATTTCTCCTCCACTCTGGCTTTTCTCTGCTCCCTCTGCAGGGTGGCTGTCCTGGACAAGGTGACAGACTTTCTGCTCTTCTTGGGAAAACTGCTTATTTCAGGAAGTGTCGGTGAGTTTCATGTCACCCGAAGTCTGTAAAGTGACACACACAGTGGCATAGATGAAAACTTGCAGTAGAGACAGGATGAGATATCCTCCTGAATATTACGAGGGTGATAAATCGTCTCACCCCCAGTTATTTTTGCAACGAACATGCTCTGTTTCACTCCGTTTGACTCATTGCAAGTTGAAATTTACTGTTGCTCAGGCTGTCTGCCGGTCTTTGAGAATAACAAAATCTCTTACATTACATTTTGTAAGGCCTTACCTTCGGTTCAGTTTGTGAGATCTTAATTTAAACATAAATCCACAGTAACCGTAGTAGTTACCCGCACAAATCCCTGTACAAAATATTGTGCTATTTGTCCTTAGGTTTCACAAGATCTATCTATCTGTATGTACTAAAACAAGTATGTATTTTGTAAGCCCTTTATTCTTCTCCTTTGAACCAATTATAGCTTTTGTGGAGCCCCATAACTTCTGTAAATTATTTGTGGTGTGGTGTTGTGCTGCTGTTTATCACACAAACCATTTGCTTCCAGTGATGTATCCCACATTTTCTTCTTATTGCTTCTGCTTTTTATTTTATTGTTGTTAAATCTTGCTGAATTATTATTTTAATCTTTTTTTCCAGGTGTTCTTGCATTTTTCTTCTTCACACGTAAAATACCTGTCATTCAAGAGGAGGTGCCATCTCTAAATTACTACTGGGTCCCCCTTCTGGTAAGGATTTAAAATGTGGGCTTTTTAATGAGTAATTGTACCAGCAGTAACAGTTGAATGAAGTTTCTTGAGGAAGTTGAGATATGTTTGTATTCAAACTACACACACGAGGTGCTTAGTTTTATTCAAATTCCTTTCCATTGGTACAGTGCAAAATCATTCAATGAATTTCTTCTTCTCCGTTTTATGCCTCTGGCTCAGTAAGAACCTTTTAGAGGAGCAATCCTGTAATCATATTTTGTTAAAGTAACTGTAATGTAAAAGGCAGCTGGAGCATTAAATATATTAAATGAAAATTCACTTCACTTCACTTTCCTCACAGAACAAATGTGTTAAATAGCTCATTTTATTTGTCACATTTTTGCAAAGGATTTTGCTAATGACATTTAATAATTTAGAACCGATTTATAGTGAAGCCTGTTTTCGATGACTCTGCTCATTACCATGAGCCAGGCCCAGCAGTGGTATCTAATTTATTCCCTCATCCTCCATAACACCATGTCTAACACCTCACCTGCCTCCAGAACAGAACACACACTTCCTGGTGTCAACTTTTTTCTTAGTTGTGGAAACTGCATTTCACACCATGTCAGTTATTCCAGATGCAAGATATTCAAATCAGATTAAAGTTTTGCACAAGCTAATTAGATTTGTTGAATAATTTATGACTCAGTGGTTCATATTATATTTGATGTTTTTGTGCTTGTTAGAAATACAGATCATTGGATGCATAATGAAACAGACATGAAAGACACATTGCAGTGTAAATGTTGACAACATAGCAATCTGACCGCAACCTGTTGATACTTTCAGACGGTGATATTTGGATCCTACATGATTGCAGATGGCTTTTTCAACGTCTATTCGATGTGCGTGGACACATTGTTCCTGTGCTTTTGTAAGTATGCCGTTTCTTTCATTACATGACAGTGTGAAAATATAACTACTCGTACTGAATACTGATATGGATGAAATATCAAATAGCCTGTCAGCAGTTGAATCTAACTCCTTCCCTCTTTGAAACTGTCTCTAAACAGTAAACTGAAACTGTTTCCTGCTCATTCAGCTCCTTAATTCTTGCATGACCTATTTAAAAATATATCTCTACTAAGTCTTTGCTTTCCTTTGTCTTTCTGGCTGTCACTCTGTGCGCTGTCTGCTATTCCTGTTCCTCCTTCTCCTGTTTTGGGACCCGGTCTCAGGTGAAGACCTGGAGAGGAATGACGGTTCTTCTTCCAGGCCCTACTACATGTCTCCTGGCTTGCACAAGATCCTGCGCAAAGGAGAGGAGGGTGCCAAATTATGCGCTGCCTCCTGAGCGATGTGCGGCCATTTTTGCTGAACTGTTGACTCTCTCACTCACTTCTCCATATCTACTGTATGTGTGGGGGGGTCTGGACGTTCAAGAGCGAGTACTGTAGGGCTAAACATCAAAACTGGATGCATCCCAACCTGTTCAGGGATGGCCTGGACATGAAAGGACATGCTTTTACTTCAGTTCCTCACAGAAAAGGCATGGGGGGACTAGAAAAAGACCTCTGTTTACTTCCTCTCTTGAGCCAACAGATACTTGCCTTTTTTTCTGCCACGCTTATGTTCTTTTTCTTTATTCTTCTCTGTATTCTCTGCTGACCTCTGCCTTACTGAGAGGGTACGTGTCAACTCGCAGGACAGACGCACAGGCTGAATATGATAAGAGCATTTTTACCCAAACAAAACATGAGGAGCTTAAACATGTACAGATGCCACTGATGGACTATGGCATAAGGCATCACCGTGAAAAAGTGATGGACTTATGGGGCACCCTCCTGTCGCACTTTGGTCTTCTAGTGTAAAAGTGTATGCACTTTCACATATGGGAAAAGAACCATGTGATTTATTTCTACTGTCTAGCATGATTATTTTGCTGGCTGTTGATGTTTACCATTGGTTTTATAGGTTGCTTTGATCCATCATATTTATACTAACACAAACACACAGATCCAAAAAATGGTGTGTAATTCTGCACTTAGCGAAACAGGTTTCTCTTATTTTACATCATTTAAAAAAAGGTCACAATCATTTAAAAGTTTCCATTATGGTCATAGATGTACTGTAAACCAGACAGAGACTTTGTGGGAGGTCAAGACTTAAAGAGACATTTTATGGTTTTTTGTTTAAAATTTGAACAGAAGTTAACCGTTTTCAGGAAACTTCTGAATGCAGCCACTAGTTTATGTGCCTAGTTGTGAAAAAAATGAAAATTGTTCCTCTTATTCTGTGGTTTTAGACCTAACACCAGGAACCTTTTTGCGATACAGTTTATAAAAGGATGTCAAAGCCATTTTTGGTAAATTTTTTATTGGATGGTTCAGATGTAGAGCTGTTTTAATACTAAGTATAATACACACATCTGTATGGAGGTTATTCAGTGTTCTTTTTGTATAGGGGAATTTTTTTTATCAATGAAATCCAATGAAAATGTGAATCATTTTTTTGAATAAACATAAATGGTTTAAGTATTGTCCAGTGCATTTTCAAAGTACCATGTCTCTGGTTTTAAAGAGACCAGAAATACAAGATCATAAATGTCAGCTTTTAACATATTGCTGCTGCTGCTGCCTCCTAGTGTGGGATCTGGAGATGAACGACGGCTCTCCTAACCGGCCCTTCTACATGACAAAAGCCTTACGGAGAATCCTCAACAAGAAGAACGTCAAGACGACGACATAGAAAAAAGACGAAAGGTGGGGGAAGGAGAAAGACTGAAGATAATTTACTAAAGCCTGGTATAAGCCCGTGTGGCAATAAGCAAAAGCCAAATATAGTAAGTGTACTATAATAGACAAAAGATAAGTAACTCTAATTATTAGATTCACCTACAGGCTCATAATTTATGGCCTTGATAGTTCGTATTTATTTGCTACCTGCAGAAGTCAGGTTAAAAAAAGACAAGAAAATTAGTCACACACAGTTCTTGTAAATATATTTTTTTATCTTATAGTTATAACTGAAATATGGTTTGTTGTATATGTTTTATAGCCACAGTCATACTACCCATTAAGTTCCTCCTGGAACAAGTGATGTATTTCTTGATTGAGATTGTGGTAAACATTAGCTGTTTTGCTCTTAATCTCTTGTAGTTACCAGTTTTCACCACTTGGTGGTGACAGACATCACCAGATGTCTCAATGTACTGTTGTGGAGGTGTGAATGCACTGCTGATTGAACTCGTCCTGCCATGAAATGGTGAAACGTTGGCTCATCTGTGTATTGTGTTATCACAGTCTTTAACCTCAAATTGTCTCACATTGAGAAACATATTTGCCACTTATTGTCCACTGTTTTCATATTTAACTGTCAAGATATAATCACATCGCAGTTCAAAGTGTTTTACTTTTTAAGTGCCTTTTTCTTAGAATTGCCACTTCAAGTGTCTAATTGCCTCTTGCAGCTACATAGTCTACATTTGAAGATGCTTTACTGATTTTGATCTTTTTAAAGGGATAATGAGGAGCCAGTGATGGAAGTTCTTGTCTTTTTCCAAATGTTAGTGGTAGGAATGAAAGGTGAAGTAGAAGGCTGCTCTGTGTTTGGTTATTTAGAAGAATGTCACATAAAATCAAAGGTTTACTCTCGGCAGCAACCAGTGTGACACAGACCCCTCTACCTGTTATACACATGTGCTGTTTCTTAGCTTTTGAACCTGCTGCTGATATGGGCACATGTATGTGTGATTCCCAGGGCAATGCAATGAAACAGATCCCAGTAATTAGAACCATTACAATGTCTTTAATGTGGTAAATGGCTGCTCTTAAAATGTTCCCCGATGTATCTTATTAGTAAAGGTTGAAACAGTATTAAATCTTTTTCTCACTACGTGCGTCCTCTTGTTAATCCAAAGCGGGGCTGGTCCTGCATAGTATTATTGCATTATTAGGGTATTAGTCAAATAGAACATTGTTTATTATAGAGAACGATTGATGATGTTATGCATTGGTTGCTTCTTTGAGTTTAAGCACATCTCAGACAAAGCAACTGACCTCAGGTCAGTTTGCCTGATTTTTTACATTACTGCTGAAACAGTTGTGTAGATTGTGTAGTCCATTTAATGTAATGAGTTATTCCCAAGTTTAGGTATCAACAGGTTGTTTGTAAGGTGACGCAGCTGTTGGCAGTTAACACAGTGTGTGTCCTTGTATTTTAAAGTCTTCAAACGTCTGGTGAGGTCTTCTCTTTCCTAAATGTATTCATGCATCACTTGGAATGATGCTCACGGTTAGATCTTTGAGATGTGACTCATGCTTGTGAATCTTTGTACTGTGTTTGTCAAACCTGAGAACCTGCCCTCATGGTGCCTCAGAGTGACAGCACTGCCAGACTTACACACCTTCTGCCCCCGTTTGAGCTGAACACGCCAGGACACGTACACCGTAAGCATTCAATAAAAGCAAAACAACGCCGCTTGTGTATCTGAAAGGAGATAAATGATGCATGTAGTGCTCAGTGTGGCATATTACACATGTAGCATGTCGTTATTCGTTTTTTATAACTGCTATACTCATAGTTGTATTTTGTATCTTTATGTGCATGTAGCTCAGGTTCAGTTTCTTTCCCATGAGGGTGAATACCTGCGATCTGATAAGTGAAGTAAAAACTGTTTTTATATGCCTTCCCCTCCCTCCTATGTCTGGAAATTAGATTCTTTTGGTCAACCACAGTCAACAAGTAGACACAAGTAAAACTTGTGCGTCAGATTTCTTACCGCAAACTCTTAAAAGTCAAACTCTGAGCTGAAGATGAAATGCTTTAACCTGTTGATACTTCAAACTGTTTTATTTATTGTTGCTCATTTGTGCAGAAAGCTGACAATATAAATCCCTCTTGTCATGTATTTATTTATACAGTAAAAGTGCATGTTTTATAAGGGAATATATTGTGTATAGTGTGTTTGTTCATCATTCAAATATATATGTGTTTTTTTACTTCTATTTTTATCAATAAAATCTTTATGTACTTACTTTCTACCTGAATTCTAAATATGCATACTGAGGTCTTAACACTGCACCATGCCACCGGTTGTGTAAAATATCTCTTTTCATTCATTCATCTCCCGGGGTTTTGTGAAAGTAGACATTTATTTTCAAAACAGACTTCACATACAATAAATAAATTAAATTGCAATATTCAAACACAAACAATTTCAAGTTCACCTTCATAATGAGTTGACATTTTGGGTCTGGTGGCTTCCACTTATAGTACCACGGTCAAACTGTGTCACCAACTACACAAACAAATATAAATGTATAATGTCATATGTCACAATCCTATAAGGAACACTGAAACCTTTCCATTTCCACATTATACAGTACATTTAGGACTGTAAATTATAGTCATTCATAATATGATCAACAGTGAATTAAGTGTTTTCAAAGAATATTGACTTGTAAAAGGAAAGGTTTTATGGTTCACTTAAAATGAAATGATATTTACCATGAATATCTGAATACTGTGGCAGCTAATGATGGACCATCGCTCGTGGAATCTGAGGCTGTGTGTGTGTGTGTGTGCGTGTGTGTGTGAGCAGCTCAGGCGTGCGACACAGGCAGCGAGGTCATGGCGTGGGCTGGCAGCAGCGGTTGAAACATAGATTGAGGAGAGTGTACTGTGGGCACACACAGAGAGCAATGGTGTCATTACAGTTTCCATAAATGATATTAAAATATATAACAATCTATATATCATTTTATTTTAATTAAGACATTTTTAAAAGCTTTAGTATCATATTTAGGTTTATTTTGTCCTAATGTGTTAAAGATTGTTACAGATTATTTACAGCAATATAAAAATCCTGATTATTTGAATGTTTCCTTATTAAGATTGTATCATTTTAAATAATTATCCTCCCACTTAAGTTCATGGGCAAGTCTGACTATTTATTCATTCATTACATTTTCATTAATCAAAGAGAAACTCTTGCTACTAACTAAATGTTACTTAAATATAACATCAAATCATTACCAAATAAACATGCATTACATTACTGAGAAGATAAAGTTAAATTTAAATAAAAATTAAATAATATTTTATTTTAAATATTAATTTAAATAAACCAGTCTGTGAATCATTTTTGTAGGAAACACATTTCACATGTTAATTAGTTTTTCAGATAATTCACATGTGACATGTAAGAAGAGTTTGTACAGTTAAAAATTAGACATAATAATAATAATGTGTTAAGACATCAATTTGACCTTTAGTTTTTAGTTTTTAAGCAGTAAACTTTCTAAACAAACTGAACGAGGGACTGCAGATGAAAATAAGCCTGTATGGCTAAATCTGGCACATATACGTAGTGTTCATTAATGTGCATTGTCCAAAATGATCATGAAAAGGCCAGTGCTCACTGTCTATGAAAGAGTGTAGTGCAGAGAGCATTGATCCCTCCGGGCCTCCGTAGGCTGTGTACTGCAGCTCCTCAGGGGTCGGGGTGGGCTGGGACAGGCGGCTGGGCTGCAGGGAGGTCATGGGTGTGCTGGAGGTGTGGTTGGGACTCACATGCTTCTTATGACGTGCTCTGCAGTTCTGGAACCAGACCTGAGTTAACAGGACAAACACCTTTTGTAGGGCTGCATTCGAACGTGACAAAGACGAATACTATAGGGAGTTAGGTTAGCTTGTACAGGGTAACTTCAGTGTGGCATACATCCTTACCAGAGACAGTAGTTAGGCTCAAGTAGCAACTAACAAATCTGATGTGTCACTATCAAACTTTGGTTCTGTTGGAAGAACCTTTGTTGCCAGTGGAAACTGTTTAAAGTCTCACGAGCATCAATTTAAAGCTGTGTGTGAGTGGAACCACAGCAATAATTAACTTTGCATAACTATTATTTGTTAGTTATGTATTCTTTTGAGGTATTTGTACTTCCTTGTATGCTACATTCTACACTACTTCTACACCACTACATTTCCTAGGAAGTTACTGTACTCAGGGGCCGATCTAGAGGGGTGGCCAAAATAACGCCTTGCCAACCTCAGTTTGGTGTCAAATGCAGTCGAACTGAACACATTAATTTAGATTAATTTTTTAATTTTGATTAATTGAATGATCTCTTATGACCACATTGTGTATCCAATGCTTTACTAATGTGCCACAATAATGTACAGTAATGTTTTTGAGTTTAGATATCTTCATTTGGGGGCTTTTTCAAGCAAATAATGATATATGTGATTAAATCAGCATATATTTCTGGCACCCTTAAAGTCCCCATGTCGCCCTCTTGCCGCCCCATGAACATTTGTCTAGATCTGCCACTGATTGCACTTTGTACTCCATTACATGCACCTCTCAGCTAGTTACTGGATACTTACTGGATCCTGTCAATTCATATTTTACATACAATTAAAAACATATGATTAGCTTATAAATTATAACGCACTGTTATGGACTGCTGTAACTATGCAGCAGAGTATAAAGGATTTAAAACTACTTTACCTCGGCCTGCTTCACCATTAAAATGCCTATTAATGCATCAGTAATTGGGAACCAGTAATATATATATATATATGGTAAGAAGAAAGCTGATGGAGAATCCTTTAATCAGGTTTGTAGCATTTCTTTTCTTTCTTCTACCATTCAGTCTGCAATTTATTTGAAATTGTACACATAAATACGTATTATGTAGTGGTAGAATTTATGTTTTTCTTTAGGTTTTGGTACATGTGTTAGCAGCAGATGTGTATCATGCAGGTATCGTACTATATATTTTATTATATATATTATCATCCATCTTCCCTTCGTGCACCGGTCCCTCACTGACCTGTATGACTCTCCGACTGAGGCCCGTCTGCTCTGCCAGTTTCTGCAGAGTTTGAGCATCTGGATTGTTGTCCTGAGCAAACTGGGCCTGCATCACCTGCATGTTAAAAGAAAAGCAAGTTAAATAACAGACAGGTTTTGCTGTGTGAGAAAATGCATGCTGCCTTTGGTTTATCGTTATCAAAAGTACTGCTGTTAACAAAATCATGTTTTTTGAGTAATACTGTCAATAAGAATAAATTATGTGATTATAAAAATGACTTTAAGGGCAGGTAATATAAACATTTTGGGTAATTTTGGACAACCATCTATTATTACTTTAACTGGATAGCTCAAGATTTTAATTATAGAACCCTAAACAATGCACAGAATTATTATTGTTATTATTAAGAGAAGAAAAAACAGCATGAAAATATAATTTAAAAAACGGCATCCTTGTTTGTTTCATTCTGCCTGCATCAGTTGTGATAAATATATCAGAATTATATAAAAAATAATATATGCTACATTTATCTAGTTCGCTATAGACAACACCTTATTTTATTTATTATTTTGAGCTTGTATCATGTTTCTTTCAACAATAACTAATGTATCAAGGCTGAAACTCCCACTGGAGACACTGAAATCAGACTGATATGACCTACATAATAACAAGGTGTAGGTCACATGGTTTGGATCCTTTTTCTGTCTGTAATTAAAGAAAACATATTCTAAAATTTCATTACACAAATGTCTAATTACTAACAACATTAGCATTAGGCCATGTATTTAGGCTCTGTTTGTCAGGCCAAAAATGAAAGAATTGAGTGAATATCTATTATTAATCTGTCTGTAATGTGTGGTGATGGAGGTTAACCTGCAGCTGGTCGGCAGTGAAGCTGGTCCGGGCTCTCTTGGAGGGTTTTGGCTGGTTAATCTCTTGTTCAGTGGGCACAGCCCCCTCCATGTTAACACTGTTCCCTGCAACCCAAGAGCAGATCCTCATATTGAAACATCTTTAAATATTTAGCACACAGTTACACATCTGTATTACTTTGAAATACAGTATTTAAAACCTGTTAGATAAATGGAGCAGCATGCAATAAACATATTTAAGCCATTAAAAAAATGGGACATGTTCACTTTCATTTTAAATATTTTAAATAAAACAAAACAAAGGGCAAACAGCTCCTCTGTTAGTAGCTTTTGGTGATTTTTAAGTGAAGCTTATGTTCTCCATGAAGTGTTCTATACGTGCTTAAAGTAAAAACAACGCTCCCGGTATTTTGGAGTAAGAACCGGGTCCCTTCAGCGGACCCCGGGCCGGCCGGCTCACCTTTCTCCACGGCCCGCTTGAGGTTGTCCAGCATGCAGTCATAGTGGACCCTGCAGAGCACCTTCTCCTCCACCAGAGCGAACTCCTCCCCGGTGGACAGCTGCCTCTTGCAGGAGAAGCAGGCGAAGCAGGCCAAGTGGTACACGTTGCCCTTCGCCCGGCGGACCCAGTCTGTGGAGTGGATGTTCCGGCCGCAGCAGGCGCACCAGGTGCCGTACCTTCTGCAGGACGGAGGTCATGGTGAGCAGATCAGACACTCGCACACAGCTGTCTGAGGGCATTTAAAGGCTGCAGCGCGCAGAAGTTGGGACTTATCGGCATTTTAAAGGATGATGCCAACTTTTTTTAGGCTAAAAGTGTAGCCTGGAGCACTGCAGGGAAACTCTGACACACTGCTGCAGCTCTGGGGAATTTTAAGATAAGATAGGCTCTGAATTAAATTCTAAATAGTTATTATTAAAGTATATCTATTTATCTATCTATCTATCTATCTATCTATCTATCTATCTATCTTTCTATGGGTTCTCTTTTTGGGTAGTTAAAGTGCGGTCATTTTTTTTATAAACTGCTTTATTTTGGATTGATTAATGATGCCTCTATTAACAAATTAACTGAATGTAAATAATTAAAATAAATTAAATACATCTCCAACCAAAGCAGGGAAGAAAATATCAAGCCCCCACAACAGTTATTATTATTACTGTCATAATAATGCCTCAGTTTGCAATATAATTTATAATTATTAAACGGATCTTGGTTTAATTTCCTTCAACTATTCCGTTTCCGTTGCTTCGATTGTCGTTTGACCAGCACGAATAAAAATCGATGCACATACCGAAAATAATCCAGTTTACAGAAAACTTCTTTTTCTTTGATGTAACAGCTCGTGTGGCTGCCAAGTGAAGTCTGGCACACACTGCAGGAGAGACAGCGCACATGCCAGCACAAGTCGTTGACCTAAAGCAAAGACAGGATAAATTAGTAAAAGTCAATCAGTTCGAAGGTACACTGCAGGCCTCACGCATTACACCACGCATCACTGCCGGCCTTAAAAAAAAACCACACAACCCCGAACGAAAAAATAATCCATCATCCAAAAATTTAATCTCGCAACAACAAAAAAAAGGAAGAAAAAAGAAAAAAACTTGCACACACAAAAAAAGATGTCGGGTTTTTTTTTACCTTTAATAAATATTTATCCACAATTTCCTCGTTGCAGCTCGCACACACAGCTCTTCCTAACAGAGGCGCAGATGCCATCGCCTGCAGCGACGACGCGTCTTCATCCAAAACTTCCACCGGCGCGCCCTGAAGGGATCAGACCTGCGGTTAGAAAATTACGCACAGGAACGCATCCACCCCGCAGCTACAGTGCAGTGTGGGTTACATAATGTGTTTGAACTCCACCTGTTAGTGCCACCAGCGTGACAATAAAACACCAGAAGACATCGTTCAGATTCTAGTTTTTCCTGCTCGGCTGAGTTTGTTAAAAGATGTGTGTCTTAAAACATGTAGGAGCAGCCATTGTTTCTAACTGAAAAAGTATTTTCAAAAAGAAAATATATTTTGGAAAGTTAGAATATTCTCACTTGTTACAAAAAATATCTTAAAGTTTAGTTTGATTTTAAAATCTGCCTCCTTTTTTTTTAACCTCCAAATTTAAAACTTTATCCGTCCACAAACGGCCTGTGGCTGTCTCTCAATCCCCCCTTTAAAAAAAAAAAAAAAAAGAATAAATAAAGTTTTAGCTTCATTCCTACCATTATGTCTCTCCTGTCCTCAGTGCATTTCCCTAGCAGCTCTTCGTCTCCTTTGCAATCCTCACACATGACGAGAAGCTACGGCGGGAAGAGATAGTTGTCGGTCTGTCAGACTGTGGCAGCAGCTGCCTTAAATGCCCCCCTGCTCCTTCCCATAAATATCATGCCTTTCACTTTTCACCATGACAACGCCCGGCGATTACCAAAATGACATTTAAAAGAGAAGGGATAGTCATTACTTACAAAAACAGACAACACTTGAGCTCACACTTATCCTATGTGCATTATGTTCTTGAGATCTGCATTTGTGATTCAGCAAGCCGCGAGCTGCAACGCGTGCGCGCTCAGACCCCACACAACACGCCAATTTCTCCTGTCAATCAATAAAAAAAAAAAAAAACAGTGCAAGGCCTCAAGGTGGGGGGGATTGATTTTTTTAATAACAGCAATTAAAAAAAAAAAAAAAAAGGGGACTAAGTTCGCCACAAACGTCTAACCGGGCAACCAAAAGGTGAAGAGGTCTCATTAACTACTTGAGTTTTAATTGCAGAATTCAGGGAGGGGTAATTTTCTTCGACATTTCTTCAAATTGTGAAAATACTGAGCTGTCAGTGTGCGGTCGACCGGGCTTTAATGACAGGCTGGAGCCCACTTTGATTTAATTGGCGAAGCAATTTCGGCTAATATTTAATCTCCAACACGGTCTGCGCGCACTGACTCTCACCCCGAGCCGCTGCGTAAGAAACACGCGTCCGTCCTTTGTAATTGTTAGACTCACCTCATCGTTGGACAACACAGATCCGTTCTCGTCCTCGCTCACGATGCAGCACTCAACTTTGACTTCACTTTTCCAGCGCATGTCCGTGTCCACCAGTTGTCCCCCCTGGTTTCACTGTTATTCCTTTCTTTCTCCTCCAGGATTCCTCTGTCAGTCTGTCCCGAGCTGTGTCTGGAGGGCGGGTCATAATTCATATTTTTCCTCCTGTCCTCTTTGGCCGCGCCTCCCTTTTTTTGTGTGTGTGGGGGGGATAAGCTCGTTGTGTGGTTTCATGCAAGGTTTGAGGAGAGAGGGGAGAGGAGGGGGTAAAAAGTCTGTCAGGGCTTTATTCTTATGAATGTTTTCAAATGCACTTTTTGAGCTGAGATTTCGATTTGCCCGCATGTAACTGCTGACATGGCGCACAGGCATCACAGTGCGTTTTATTTGTGACAACCTGTAGGCTACATTTACTCAAGGACTGAACATAAGTAAGTCACTTAATGATCTGCTACACTTTCTGCTCTGCCACATTACTGAGGGCAAACTTTTTACTCCACTGTTTATTTATTTATTTATCATTTATTGAACTGGCTATTCACTGGTTACCTTTTCACATCGATGGTCTTACACTCATCACAAAACATGATTATCTCATAGAATATTCTGCACTGTAGATTAATCCGAATCAAATAAGCTACAACAGCTCATTGCACACTCATACATCAGACACAATGTACCAGTTATATAAAATCTATAATAATAAAACACTCTGAAGGGGGCCATTCTGCATAACAAGTACTTTTATATTTAATAGCCTACTCGAAGTACATCTTGCTGCTGATACTTCTTTACTTTTATTTATGTAAAATGTTGAATGCAGGATTTACTTTAATTAAGAATTTTCACAATTAGTTACTTTTTCTCAGGAAGGAGATCAGAATACTTATTCCACCACTGGTAATTACCCCAACATGATACCTACTCTATATCTCTGAGCAGCATGTGATCTGTTTATTGAAGGCTGTCAGTACCTGACCTGTAGGATACTAATATTTATGTTTAATTTACAGTTTGTGCAGATTAATCTGTTACTTGTTTCGTGACCCCTTCAAACACGGCAAAATCTACTTGTGACCATTTCAAAACACAAGTGACTTTTAAATATATATTAATAATTTTCCAAAGGCCAGAAGAGATCAAATAATTTTTAAGCAAACTTTATAGTAAAAGCAGAAAAAAAAAAATTTATGCTGCAGAAATATGTTTTGTTTTTGCTTCTTTATCCTGTCTCCTATCACCTTGTGACCCCATAAAATGTATCTTGTAACTCCAATACTCCCCCAGACTGGGAACCTCTTTGTTAGGGGTCACTAAGACAGCTGCTGACACCCTCACATTAAATTAAATGCCAGTACTGCTATGTTTTTGTTTTTGTTGTGTATCAGGGATTTTGGAGCCCCTCTGGATCTGTTGGTTATAATTATGTTAATGAATTGTGTTATGGCCAGTACTCATATTCACTGTTGGTTTAGCATGAGTATATATACTATATAGTATATATAATATATACGTTACCAATTTATTAAGGATTTAAGGTTATTTTATTGTCATTTACAACGCAGGGTTGTATAATGAAATTCAGAAATAGTTTTCTTCATGCTACTTGTAAAACCAAATAAAACCGGATTAATAAGTCATAAAAATAAATATAAATATAAATATGTATGATGAAGTGCTAAAGGATGAATTTAGCAGTCTCACAGACTGAGGGAGGAAGCTGTCTTTATGTCTGATGGTACGACAGGCTCTGTGCAGGCGCCTCACCTCACCAATATTACTGATGCTGGGTAGCTGAGTAGCAATGATCTCCTGGGCGGTTTTATCATCCACTGCAGAGTCTTCCTGTCCTGGGTCGTGCAAGAACTTGGCACAGGAATTTTGCTTTCACAAGTGTCCTTAAGAAATACAGTTGTTCCTATGCTTTCTTAACCAGGGTGGAGATGTGAGATGACCATGACAGGTTCTCTGTGATCTTGATTCCCAGAAACCTAAAACCTGCTCCAGCTCAGCTCCACTGACGTAAACAGGGTGTGTGTCTTTGCCTCTTTTGTCCTATAATCAACAATCAGCTCCGTGTTTTTTGCTAATGTTGTGCAGGTACACTTCGCTAAAACTAATGCAGTCTAATACAACAGACCTGCAATAAATCCTTCCTTCATGAAGGTTATAATGTTCAGTTTTTGTTCTCTTAGCGAGGCTGACCTGATGCAATGTTTCCATCCATTTGAATCATAAAGCACAGTAAGAAACTCTAACCTTAATGTTATTTTTACTGTCATTTACATATTTTGCCGCCTCCATTTTACACATTGAGTTTTAAGGTTTTCAGAAAAGAAAAACTTAAACTAAAACTATTGGTTGATTTTGCAATTATTATTGTTTTTACACATACAACCGTGCAGTCTCCATTGTTAACGAAATACAAGGGCAACATGTGCTTGAGTAAATGTACTTAATCACTTTCCACCTCTGCTCTTTTGCCCTCTAGTGTTTTTGCATCTTTAGCCACATCAAGCTGCGTTCAAAATAGAAAATCAGGCAGCCCACCTGCTTTGAGTCTGTATGCAAATTATGGCAACTTTCAGTCTGCATCCAGGCAGTGACATGAGACACTAAATATGGTGTTTAAGAAGCAGCGCAGATGCTTTACAAGGATTAGATGTATAGGAGTGACAGGAGTCTCATAAACGAAACACAGTTGCCTACCTGTTTCTTTTTATCTTTTTTCACTCACTCATTCAACCCAGTCGCTCACGCAATCCCACCCATCCCAGCCACCAACACACACACCCTTCCATCCCAGCTGCCACACACACACACACACACACACACACACACACACACACACACACACACACACACACACACACAACAAACAGCAAAAGGCCACTTTCTGTTCTGACGGGATAACAGTCCAACCTGCACCGGCATGAGTCTGCATCCGTATCGCACCATCGCAGAGGGATAAAGGAGTTAGCGTGCCTCCATCGTGATGTGTCCTGTTCCACCTGGTGGAGATGAATGCTCTTTATCAGATAACACATCTCAAGCATTGCAAGCTGTGGAGCAGACAGTTCACCAAAGCAGCCTGTAAGGCCACCACTCTTCCCTGAATCCTCATTCCTGCAGAACTCTGTGAGAACTGTGAAAAAAGTCCTGGAAAGCTGCTTTATTTTAGTTTCTTGATCATGATTTCAGATGGAGAGGTCAAAGGTGAGAGGACAGATGTAACGCAAACAAGACATTGTTACAGTGAAGAATAATACCAAAACAAATAATACTGAGCTATCGAGCATTTTATCATGAAAAACCAAATCCTTTCTCAGACATGAAAGTTTTTGTAGAATACCTGATAGGACCACAGATGTTGGGAAAGATGTAAATCTGAATGTGTAACAGTTGCATGTTTTCATTTTCCACATTGCATGACTGACTTCGTAAGTGTTTTGTGTGATGTGGACCAGACAAAAACAATGTCTCATCTTTCAACATACTTGCAAAAGTGTTGTGCTGCTCTGCTGCTTTACGCCTGTGAGGCTGCTGCGGTATATACACTGTGATCTATAAATACTCCATCATTAGGTACGAGAAATAGAAAGTAGGCCAGCGATTTGCATGCAAAATGATTTACAGGAGCAGACTTAATACATTTAACAAAAGCTAGTTAATCTGTGAATCTTATTACATTTATTCAGAAGTCTTTTAGAGAGATAGTGAATATTAAAATGATGATAACGATAAGAACCTTTCTTGACCTTAATGTTCAGTTTGGGGTCCTGGAGCCCCCGTTTAGCAACTTCATGATCGTGAGAACTGCTAATAAACATGACTGAGTCAGTTCAATGTCATCAGGAGTCGTCTACAGAAAATGACTCATTTCTTCTGTTTGAAGTTATGTTTAAAAACAACAGAGTTCTGTTTCTGTGATTGGTCCAGCACTACAGCTCCCAAATCACAAAAAGGTCTATTAGGATTTCTGTTATTGGAGTTTCATCCTCTATGAACTGACCCCAGTAAGCAACTGGTCATTTGGGAATTTGTCTGCAGGATTTTTGGCAAACAAATGGCAATACATTTGGTCAGGATGAGTTTCCTACGTTTTAGCTTTTAAAAAGGTCAAAAGAAAAAAGATATATTAGTAAGAAAAGAAATGGTTAATTTCACACATACAACAGTGGAGTCTGTGAGGCCCCAAACAAAGAGGAAGTAAAGCCAATGTCAGCAAAACACAAGGGTTCACATAGTTACATAAATGCTTAAACAAGGAACACAACAGGCTTATTAAATTAAGAAGCAGAGCGCAGTGCTTTTGACAGACAGAATTACTCTCACTAATCCACAAAACCACCACCTCCTCATTTCCAGATAGGAAATGTAGTGAGGATGATTGTTGGTAATACTGAAACATGCTTGGTTCATTGCATCAGCAAATTTGTGTCCTTACACGATTTAAAATTGGCACCGTTCAGCATGTTTCTACATCCAAAGTGATCTCGTTTTCACTTTGTAAAAGTTTAATCTAAGAAGACACACAGGAAACCAAAATACAGTAAGAACCAGGAATGTGGGAGACTCTCTCTAAGGGAAGCGATGAGCGTTTGGCCCTGACTTGCCTCTGTGAAAATCTCCTAATTTGCTACTTCCACATGGACCTTTGCTTTCTTTGGGGCTGCACCTACTCATTTATTTCATTGAAATCAGCGAGAATTGGGGTGGTTTACAATTGACACAACGAGTTTGGCATGACCTTTTCTCCTTGCTGTAAATGGGTACTCATCGAATCTGAAGGGGGAGGTGGGAAGCTGGAGGAGGGATGGGGTAGGGGGGGGGAGTTGCGTTGGCTGGGGGCCAATGGGGGGATTGGGTGGAAATCACAGCAGTGAAAATGGCAGTGCAGTGAAAGAGGGGCCTGATTGCATTGGGACAGCATGCGAGAGGGA